TTGCACAATAAGGACGATATAATGCCGTCCGTTATTTTCACCTTATATTGACACTTACTAGCACCTTTTCCTGGACAACCTGCTTGAACCAGCCCACCATCTCACCCTCCCGTCATGCAGGGTGGCTCAAGCCGGACGCCGTGGTTGGGACCTGTCTGCAGTGCGGACGTGTTCAAGGTGGCCAACTTGTTCGCGACCAATAGCCAGTCAACATCGCCAGATGGCCTCACAGCAGTCAGCAATACTGGCCCTGGGGAAAACATGAAAAAAATAAAATAAAAAGATGAATGAAGAGAGAGAGTGAGAAAGAGAAAAAGAGGGGTTTCGGCCATCATTGCAGTCTTTGGCTTTTGGTGTGGTTACAGTCTCCCACGTCCTTACCTTCGTACTCACTGATATGGTTCCCCTAGACATCACCCGTCCTGATTCAGAATAGAGTACCGTGCTACCGGCCCGGAGACACCTGTATGCACCACGGTAAAAACCCCATGGAGGGGCGGGTGAACTCGACCCAAAAACACCTGCCGTTCCCAGAACTGGTTGTGTAGCCGCAAATTGTGTGTTCCTACTTCTTGTCTCGTTATGGAATTCGCCTTGCCTTTTTGTCGTCAGTTCCCCCCTGGTCGACTGCTCCCCTCGGCGGGCCATCCGTCCGTCCCTGGCGCCCCTCGCAACGTTGGGTTTGCTTGGCTCGATAATCGTTGCCCCTAGACTCGGACATCCTCAGTGCCCCAGCCTGCCGTCTTGCACAGTCACACAAGTCCCGATCTTTTCTCGTTTTCTTTCTTATCACTTCTTCCGTCCTCTGGCATCATCGCCCGAGCTCGTGGCTTGTGCCTCCCTTTTTACCAGCCTCCAATTCACCTTTGCGCTAACAAACAAACCCAATGGTCGAAGTCAGGTCAGCTAGCCCACCTTGGATGTAACCAAGCACGATCATGGTGAAGGCAGCAATTATTGGACTTCTCACTTGCTTCTCCTCTGCCGTGTTGTCAAATCATCAATTGGGGCTCCAACGAGATCCTCCCACTCAGCCAGATCAGTGATCGCCAGACCTGGCTTTCGTGAAATCTCCATTCTGCTTACATGTCTGTCCGGCAAGAGCCTGGTCCCTAGGTTGATGCCGAGAACGATTACCATGGATAGGGCCGACCGGGTTAGTCTAGGCCCATTTTGATGTTCAGTCGGTGGTGGTGCCGGTGGGATGTGGCCATGCATTTCCGCGAGTACGCCGTGGGGAAACAAGAAAACACAGTGGAGCAGGGGAGCACCAAACTCGGAACTCTTGAGACCTTTCACTCTCACTTTTGCCCGTCGGTCCACTCGTCCACCATGGGGCTTGCAGCGTATACTCTTGGTAGTAGCATGCAATTATGTTGTTAGCTTTTTCGATTACCATTCTCTTCTTTTTCGACGCCTATCTGTCAGCCCCTAGGTGCCTGATCAAAAAGCAGAGGACCATGATTCAACGGGTTGAAAATGAACATCCTGGAAATCAAGTGAGCCGGCCCTAGCTTTCCCTCATGCTGGCACCGTTGGAGCTAAACCGCACCAAATCACACCAAAGACATGAGATGGGATAGGATGGATTTCTCTGCAGATGAAGGTGATGCCTGCCGAATATTCCTTTCATGCCATTGGTTCACCTGATTTGGGCTTACCCAAAAGGTTGTCCGGTCCCCCCATCTGCCAGGGCCTTTTGGTTTCCACCAGCCTTATATCATCGGCCAGTGCCACTGCCGCACCCCCATCTTCGTCGTTCATGTTTCTACGTCAAGTCTTCGGCGCAGGCTTCACCCGTTGCGACAGCTTCACACTCGTTTTCCTTCCGGAGACTCGACCTCACTCGTTGGCTTGCTAAACCTATGCAGCTTGGCTTGACGGTCTCTTTCAGGCAGAATGCTTGTCACGAGGGTTTTGGGGACGCTCGGAGCGCTGGCCCTGACTCAGTTCGTCTCCGCTACCGAAAGGCCTTTTTACCCCATGACCAATACCACGGGGGTTTCGAGCGCTGCTCCTGTCACGTCTCTTGCGCCCAGTGGTCATAATACCGATACGGGATTTTGCACAAAGTATTGGCACGACTGCCGCAAGTGCGTTGAGCCAGTTGTGTAAGTGAAGAATCCACTAACATGCTGCTCAATCCATGGCTAACAATTGATAGGATTACAACCACGGTTTAGTATGTTGATTCTCCTTCTTCGAATGGGAGGAATGATCAGTCTAACAGCAGACCAGTGAAACTAAGCCCGCCTCTACAGTGACAGTTACATGTACAGAATCGGTAAGTCATCACCACCGCAGCAAATTTCAAATGGCACCAGATACATTTCAGTGTGCTTTGTCAGCTTCTGTATGAAGTTACGGAGTACCCTGAAACCGCGAAGAAACTCTATCTTCTATTTAAGAGGACCGCCAGTCTGCTTGGTCTCCGGTAGATCCTGGCAATCAACTACGTTCATCGCTAACTTGGATTGCAGTACACCGAAACGGTTACGGCAAAGGAGACAGTCATCTCCACTGGTGTCGTAACGGCAACAGTGGTAGAGACAGTCATTCATACCTCAACCGTCGAAGAAACCGAATATGTACGGCCGTTTTATCTGTTTCTTCCTCGCCGGTCTAGCATGCTGACTGGTTTTTTCAGCTCCCAACCACCGTCCTTGATACCAAAACTCTTACTGACACGGCCATCGTGACCTCTGGATACACGGAGACCGAGACTGACTGCGAGACCATCACCGCAACCACAATCTATACAACAGTAAGTTCTTACATAATCGTGAATCCATCAGTTTCTTGTAACTAATTGCCTTGCAGAGCTACCCAGTCACTACAACAGTGAGCATTTGCAATGGGGAGGATCACTCTTCGTATTGTGTTGTCAGCACGACAACTACCTGGAAGACAACCACCGAGACATCGATTGTCGAGACAACGGTTCAAGTCGCAGTCCCGACAACAGTCCCGACAACAGTTCCAACAACAGTCTCAACAACTGTTTACATCCCCACGACAGAGGTAGAAACTAAGACGGTCGTTTACACTACAGCAATCTCTGTCCCATACACTGTGATTGATAGCACAACACTCTGGTCCACCCTTGAAACGACCTACACAAGCATCCATGTAAGCTTTTGCTCCTTTGAAAGTAAGATACAAAGGCATGCTGTTAACTAACACTCGATCCAGACCATTGAGAAGACAACGACTGACTATGTTGAGGTGATTTGTACCACGACGACCACGGAAATCAGTTCCTACCCGGTTACCGTGACTGGCACCGAGACGATATGGACGACCGATTACAACACAATCACGGACATTTACACCACATTGGTTCCAATCACGACAACGGAAGTTGTAACCACCACCGATGTTGTCCTCAGCACTGTTGTTAGTGCTACGACGGAAACCACAACCTTCACCACGGTAACTTCGTATCCGGTGACCGTTACCGATAGTACTACTTTTTACACAACCAAGACGGCCGTAGTCACTTCTGTTGTTGTCAGCTCTTTCACGTCTGTTCAGACTGTCACCGATCACACGACGGCAACCGAGGTTTTCACTACAACTGCGACTGTCATTCCGCCTCCCATTACAACAACTGTATCCGGCACTCTCACCACCATTACACTTCCCCCAACAATTGTTACACAGACTCTGGATCATACTGTCACTCAGACTGAACACATGGTTTCTACTCTGACGCTCCCAGGAACAACAACGGTGACCACCTTCACATCAGTTGCACCCGCGACCACCACCACGTTGATACGTGATGGAACCACAGTCACTACCACGCTGCCGGCTTCTACGGTAACGAGTACGACGACTTTTTCCGTACCTCCTCAAACTATTACGCAGACAATTACCAAACCACCCTCAACAATTACTATTGCCACGACCGTCTCTAAAACGATCACGACTTGCCATCCCACGGACACTGTCGCCCCCGCTCTTCAACAGGCATACGATCCAAAATCTGATCTCACATGGGGTTGCAAACCTGGGTTCGTTTGCGATAAGCCTAAACCAGACAGTTGCAACTTGTGGGCCGATGCGCCGTCCGATGATTATCGGTGCGAACCGCAGTGGTGTAAGCCAGCTCGTCCGTTTCCCAATGTGACCTGGCCAGAGAACGAAACTGGATATTACCCGCCAACTGAAGGGTATTTCTACCTCGACCCCAATGTGTTCGGTTTGAGCGACGATATCTTTGAGGAGCATCTCGTGATTGTTGAGGTTGGCGGTGTCACGTCAACCATTACCACCGGTAATTGGGGTGTCCAACCCAACCTAACCTGGCCTCCGCCGCGCCCGACATCGGCCACAAACTCGACTTCAACCACTTTGCCTTCTGTGGGATACGGATATAAACGCGACCGTTTCTCGAAGCGGGCTGATACCCCACATCCTGCTGTCTGTTATGATCAATGTGAGGACGCCTACCTTGAAGCCCAGCAAGTCGGTAAATCACCGGCTCTGTGCGCCGCCGGCTCACCTTTCAAAGAATATTACGACTTCTGCCAATCTTGTGTTAATGCGAAGCCGGAAAGTAATGCCAAAAGAGACGTCAAGGCGTACCTCGAGCCTAAATATGCTCAATTTATCAACTACTGCGACGAACAAGCCCCTTCACCTGCCCCATCCAGCATACCCCCACAGCCGGTCCAGTCTAACACTCCTACGATCTCCACGACTTCGCAGCAGGCACCTAACTCGAACACTGAGCCCGTACCCATCTCAACTTCGTCTTCTCGGCCAGCCTCGGAGCCTTCTACCACGACTACATCTGGCGTTCCCCCTACGTCCTCAAGCTCTTCTGCTCAACCATCAGCAAGTGAGCCAAGTTCGTCTTCTAAGCCGGCCTTGCCTTCTTCTTTGCCCCCGGTTATTCTTCCCTCGTCGAAGCTGGTGATCACTTCCGCTTCCTCTGCTGTCCCGCCACCCTCTTCCTCTTCCACGGCGGTGGCAGTATCCTCTGAGCCCGCGGTCGTTTCGTCAACTCAAGCTTCCTCTCAGCCGCCGGTTTCTTCATCTGCGCCGGTGGCTGTCTCATCTTCTTCGGCGCCGGTTGTTTCGTCTTCTTCACAAGTCCTAACCTCCTCGTCTTCAGCGTCGAGCACAACAGTCTTAACCTCCTCGTCTTCGGAAGTCCTAACCCTCTCATCTTCAGCGTCGAGCACGACGGTCTCTGAAGCTTCCTCAACAGTCTCGACCGCGTCATCTTCATTGGCTGAATCATTGACTTCGTCCGCATCGTCATCCTCAACGGCATCATCCAGCTCAGTTGAATCGTCATCATCGTTTACCACCAAATCGTCTGCGGTTGGGGTGTCGTCGACCACCGCTATTCCCACCAGACCTGTGTCCGTTCCGTCGTCTTCCTCATTGGCTTCGTCGTCTTCCCCATCGGCTTCGTCGCTGCCCTCGGTTTCAAGCATCGAGCCATCGATCACCGCATCCGTCAGCGGCACGATCAGCGCTAGTAGCACAGGCATCACCACCTCGACCGCCCCACCGTCAAGCATCTCCGACCCCGTTACTTCAGCGGGCAGTGTCGCTCAGTCGCCATCGGTAGCGGCTTTATTGGCTACCATCTTAGCAGCCATCCCTTTCTTGTAAATTTGTTGATTGACGAACGGGGAAGTTCTTCCGTTTGACTTCCTGTTCAACCCTTTTAATACTTGCCCATTTGGGTCAGCCTGGATGAGATGGGTGGATCGGCTTCGTTATGGAGGTTTGGTCAAAGTGGGAGGCACGTTCTAGTGTTTAATCTGCTGCAAGAAAGACGAGTTGTGGTTCGTGGATGAGTTTGTGGTCCCGGGATGTTTGTTACAGAAATACGTCGCTTCTTCACTCATGGTGTTACGCATCAACAAGCTCCTTCGGAGGTACACAAGCGGAGTCGGGGCATGTTTATGCTTATATTCCATTGTGCGGATGAGCGGAAACAGATGCGAATGCCGCCGCGGCCACAGCGGAAGTATGCAGCGTCGTATCTAGCTGTAGGAGGGCCAATGACTAATCAACAAAAAGGGAAGGGAGGGAAACAATTTAAGGATGGATGTGGGACTTCACGAATTCACGACACTCATTTACATGACGGTACATAACTTGGCATGAAGCGGACGAAAGGGGAACAGAAGATTCTGATTGATACCCATGCTATTTGCAGATACACTCTTTTGGGATAATAGATATATTTAGGGATGGTGGAAACTATTGTAAAGCATCTGAACCCATGTCATCGTCGACGTGTGTTTTCAAGTGATTGAAAGAATGGCGTTATATTTGCATCTGGGTACACTATCTTCCACTATTTGAACCCAGAGGACGAAAAGCAGCTAACCAACATAACTCAAAAATCAAATGAGGGTGTGTTCGTGTTTCCCGGGAAATGGCTTCTGAAATGAATGTGGGGGATATGGTCCGTGTGTGCGGCAGTCTCGATCAGATGCTGGAACTCGACCTCAGTTCCTAGCTCCGGAGTTTATACTACTCGGGCAGCGCTACTACTTGCAATGGGCCGTCGGGCCTTCACAACCGTTGGCGCAGGTGCTGAGAATGTTGACTCCTCCGTTCACGCACTGGTACAAGGCATTGGGGTCAAGCACGCCGCCCCAGCCAGCAGGATCTAGTGTATAGCGGCGTATTAGCTGTCTTGTCTTTTCCGCCACCAGCCGGAACTGCGTTGCCTTTGCGAATCAACGAAGATTATACGAACCTTGGGCGATCAGGTACCATCCACAGTAGTTGTAAGGTGGAGTGCAGGTCCAGGCTGCAGCGGCGGCATCCGAACGCTGCTTAACAGAGCCGCCGGAACTGCTGGCGAGGACCAAAGGGGTGGCGGTGAGGGCAACAGCAAGAGCGAAGCGCATGGTGGGTGGTTGGTATTGCCGAAGCTGAGCAGGTTTCTAGGTAGGTGTGAGATGGTTGTGGTGTGCTTTGATGAGGGCTGGAATGGTGTTTGAATCCAAGGTTCGTCGACATATAGCAGATCCAGAGCCGTCCGGGCTTTATATATCTTTACCCTTTCATGAAGTACATAGAGATAGAGGTAGGTAAATGATATTATACGGCAAAATCGACAGATCGTACCCTCGGCGTTTAGTTTCCCTAGAGGTAATCTCACTCGTCGCTACCTACAGATAAATTGTGTAATCGTATTCCTCGACTCTGACCAAACAGCTGATTGAACTGCTAGGTAATTGTCATTGATGTCGTACAGCTGCTGGCTATATAGGCCGGTGGTGTGAATCTGGGTATGGTGTTACGCTTACGTCTCGGCATCGGCTGATGTTTTTCGCGCGCACGAGAACTCGGTGCCCGGCTGAAATTTGTCACGGTAATTCCGTAGGTAGACATTAATGACTGGCTACTAGTAGGCTCGATGGGGGAATGATGTAGGTAGTCGTGCTGTATGTTAGTCCTATCAGAACCGACAGAGGCTAATCTAGACCGTCGGTCCTTGATGAAGCTATTCACATGACTATTTTCGTCTATACTAGGACCTGACATATCATCTGACTAGAGGTATGTAAGATGCTCACCAACATGAGCTGAAGTAGCGCAACCCGGCCCTGTCTAGGTAATTTATCGAGTGTCTAGGTAGACTCGATGCTGTGGAAGGGTCTTGTGAAGAGACCCTTGTTGGACATCTATCAGGATTGCCAGTGGAATAAGCAGAATATAGCACAAGTCAACAGTCAAACATACGACTGACTTATGGTGGATCAGAAGATATTGCCTAGAGATGCGCGTAAGAGTTCATTCTAGCGGCGGCGATTAGAGTCAATAGATCCCGTCCCTATTGCAAGTCAGATTGTTATAAACGCGCACCAGCGGCACAAGTGCCGCAATCTGAAAGAGACTGGTTTTGTACAATGTCAAAGACAGCATCATCTCTTACTTCAGATTCTCTGCAGCGCATCAAAATTCGTAGCAAAAGCGACATATGTGCTGGCCAGGCGTCTTCAATTCAGTAGGTAATCGGGGTCAAGGGCTATACTGCGCGGGTGTGTCACCGTGTATTACCGTGTGTCGATTATTTATATGTGCTTATGTTTGTCGTATAGCGTGTAGTACGGCGCGATTTGTAGGGAAGCTAGTAAGTTTTGATGTCATGCTATCAATGGTGACTCGGTATCTGATTTCTCTGGTTTTTTTTTTCCCCTTTGTCCTGCCACTCTTTAATTCTTCCTTCATTCAACTGCACTTGAAAGTGTGGGTCGGACTCTTCAGGAAGCCCTGGGCGAATTTTTACGTTGGTAGGCAGTTCATGATGCCATTCCGCATCTGATACTCTCTGAAAAGATATCTTTTCAGGGAGCTTCGGACGTACACTTACTGGTACCTAAGCAACCAACATATCATCGCAGAAATGCAAGCTACCTAAGCAGCAGGAAAATGCATACTCAACTCCGTGATATTCATTGTTTCAATACTTGATGACTGATGTCGACCAGCGAATCCCAAGTGTTGTATTGCAGGTTTCTTGGTGTGTTGATTGTTGCTTATCTTATCCTTATCTCTTTATCAGCTTTATAAGTCACCATGGTTGGCTTCCTGTTTAGGAAAGGCCGAACATAAGAACACACCACGGTTACTCGGAGTTAAACGGTTAGTGGGTGAGGGTAAACGTTTTGTGCCACCAGTGAACGATTTATCACTGAACATGCAATATGTCCGTTGTCCTTTTTTGTCTTTTTTTTCTTTTACTTTGTTGTACCGAAAACGGAGATCCTTCACCCGGCCGTCCGAACAAAGATTGTGGGAGAGATGATACAACAAAAAGTCAACCAACAGTCCCCAAACAGGTGCTACGTTTGATATCCAACCCCGCTGCCTAGATGGAACTTGGATACAACCAACAACACCCCGAGATTGTGCCGTATCATTCATTACCCTATCACGTGGTAAGCAAAGTGTTGCCGTAGGTTGCAGGTGATACTGTGCCTGAAAGGGCGTGCTCGGCACGGCCCGCATGCAACCAACTCCCCGCTGGCCGCTGCCCTTGGTTCCACTCAAGCGGGGCCGAAGCAGTCATCGGCTCATGGCCAGAACACAAATGCCACCATCCATCCATCCTCCTCCTACATCCATCACACAGCGTGCCTTCCAACGCCGGAGACACACATGTCCACTCGCCACACTTGTCCAGCTTTCAAGGGTCCTCTTCATGCTCCCACCTGACAAAGTTCCTCTCTCAATTCTCCTTTCCAAACTCTACAACGACACGGTAGCTGCATACTGTACCCTATGTCTACCGCACTCTCCATCCTGCAAATTGCCCTGGCCAAGGAGCTGGATTCCCTGAGTGACCCGGAGGACTGGTCCGAATTCGGCCCCATGGATGTCGAGGAAGACACATCAACACCGGAGGAGGTCTCAGCGCTGCGCGAGTTCGTACAGGCCTACAACACCCCAAGCGCCCTGAACGCAGAGGAGACAGCTCGCAAGCTCATGTCGCTGAATGAGGACCACGTGCCATGCGATGGCGACTTCGACAAGGGCAGACGAATTGCCTGGCTGCTATATGATGTTGGCATCCAGATGGTACAATATCAAGTCGCTATCCTGGTAGTTGCCGACGCCGTTATGGCCCTTCCCCGCTTAGATGCGACACCTGAGCAGGAAGTCCGGTTCGGGAAGAAGAAGTTGGAGCGGTGGAGGAAATTGGAAGACTTTTGGTATTACTGCTGGAACGAGAGATGGGATAGTATGTATTCCAACACACCGTGGCAATAAGGTACCCATTAATCGACTAACAAATTGGGACAGGGTATAACGAGTTTCGATACAGTACTGCATCTGGCGCATACATCTGTGCGAATGCATGGGTGGCCCGTCATCTTGTACTACACCCCCCCCCCCCCGACATTTACTACACCTCTGAGCTAAGTGTGGCCTTCAGCCGGATGATATTGGCCCTTGAGAAAGATCGGTGGAACTATCCTTTTGTGCGAGAGGATGGTGATGTCACCATCCGCTCGCCCAAAGACTGGACTATTACCATGCTTAACACCCACGTTCACGCCTTGGTCCCATTCTTAGTGATAGCAGGAGACATAATGTACCGATATACCGACAGAGAGATGATAGTGCGGAGGTTCGCGGAGGCACATCAAGAGAACCATAAGGACAACACAAGGGAGTCTTGGCAGCGATATAGTTTATTCTGTTCCGGAAGATCCTTGTGGAAGGACGAGAAGAAAGTCGACCAACATGAATGGCTGACGCGAGAGAGGTGGGCTTTTTGGAAGAAAAGATTGGTATGGATTTCAGAGCAGACCGAGCTCTTACAACGGACTCGGGACGAGGCGATCATGCTTGTGCAGCTGATGACGGAGATCGAGGGTCGTGGGGCGTAAACACCAAGAAACGCATCACGCTACAACGGGGCCACGGAGACACAGTCAACGGCAATGAACACAACGCATTATTGCCTTCCCCTTGAAACTGGTGCCTTGTCGCTGTCGGCCTTGCAGGGCAGGTAGCAAAAGTATATTGGATTCTACAACCCAAACAGGTAAGACCGCCTTGCTGAACACTCATGATACCCGACATGTATGCGCGAACAAAGTTCAATTCAATACTGACAGCAGTAGTGGCGGGAAGTAACATGTTCCACAGGTGCAACTATCCCCGAGTGTCCATCCATCCATTCACCTCCCTCACTCCCCACCTTTACATCCCGTAGACGACTTGGTGATAGTTCACTACCACTTCTACTTCCAAAACCCCCATCTCCTTCGAAACATTCCTTTATAAAGTGAGAGTCAAGAGAAAGAAAGCACATACGACCATACCCACTGGAAAA